TAGAAGTGTTTTGATAAAGAACTTGATAAGTTTTTGTTTCTGAGAAATATTTCCTAATTAGGAAATTTGGTGATAGACGGGAAAGAGTTTTTTTAAAATAATTTATTTTTAAAAACATATATATTTATTATTACTTATAAAAAAGTTTATATTATTTAAACAAAAAAATACCTTGATTATAACTAGAAAAAAATATTATTTTTTGATGAAATAATATTTTAACTATTCAGAAATATAATTATTTAATAATATAAAGATGCAAGATATACATGTGACATAAATTATTTTGCTGTTGATTCAATTCTCAAAATTCTCAAAAATACTGTAATTGTGTCATGACTCAATTATTATTATATTTTAATAGTGATTCAATTAATTGCATCAAAGATCTACGAATTTCAGTAACATGTATAATGCAAGACATGTTAAAAGAACATTTAAAAATTATATTAAAATTTTTACATAGGAAGAATTTTATATAAAAGAAAAAACTTCTCTTTTTTGTTTTAAAAAAATTATAGATATAAAATTTTATATCAAAATTTTATAAAATTATAAATAAAAAATTAATAGACTACTTGAAAACAATTGATACTTTTAACAAAATAATGGTCCCAAATATATAAGTAAAATTGCTAAAGTATTTTTAAATGAAAAATTTTCTAAAATTATTAATTAGCCTTCTAATAGTTCAGATTTAAATTTTATTGAAAATCTTTGAACTATTATTAAAAGAAATATAAAAATAAGATTACCAAAAAATATTTTAAAATTAGAACAACTTATAATAGAAAATGAAATAAAATTTCAAATAAGGTTTTAAATAATTTTATAGATTCAATAAAAAAGAGATGTAAATTAATAATTGAAAATAATGGTAAAAGAATTAATTATTGATTATATATTAATAAAATCTCTAGATTTTTAATATTATTTTGATATAAATAAAAAATTTTAAAAAGTTTTATTATACATTATATATGTTTAAAGTTTTATTTTAATAAATTATTATTTATTGAATTATAATAAAAAATATTAGTGCAATTATTTTTGATTCATATTATATATTAATAAAATTATAAAAAAAAAATTATTTAATAGAATTTTATTAATATATTATTTAAATTTATTATGATATCAAAACAAAATTTTGCAAAATATATTGATTTAATTTAATTATAATAAATAAACAAATAAATTATTTATAATAATTTTTAATTAAAAAATTAATTAAGCAATTTAAATTTAATGAAAATTATTTTTTATATTAATTTTATCTTTATTTTGTAAATTGATAAATTAAAAAATTTATTAAATTCAAAATTCAAAATTTTTCAAAAAATCTTTTTTTATAAAATAATAAATAAAATAATTTTTATAATTTTTTATAATTTTGTAAATAGTTTTTTTTTTTAAAAATTTCATATAGTAAAAATTATTTTTTCAACTATGATTTATATATAAATTTATAAAAAATTTTATCCAAGACTTATAAGCCTATAGAATAATGATTAGTGCTTCACAGATTAGATTACAAGATATTAGTTCAACTTTCATCTGAAGTTAATTTAAAAATAATATCTGATATTATAACCTGTTAAATAATAATAGTAATTATTTTAACAAATGAAAAATAAAATTATAAAATAATCAAGTTATTATTATTTTATTATTATTTCTTTTAAAGATATAATTATTTGTAAACAAAAAAAATACAAATCTTAATTTAATAAAAAAAATCGTAAAAATATTATTTATCTAAATAAAGATTACAAAACGTATGTGTGTAATCTTTTGTTTAAAAAAAATATGTAGTATATTATTTTGTTAGGCGTTCTGCACAGTAAAAATCTTTTTTTACAAAGTTTTTGATTTTAGCAAATTGTTATATTGATTAATGATAATAATAAAAATAAATTAATTGATTGATGAATAAATGATAATAGATAAATAGATAAATGAATTACAAGTGTGATGTTAAAAATTTTTAAAAAAATCGTTCTTATTAATTAGTTGATAAATTTATATTATAATATATATCGTTATTATTTATAACAGAATACGTTTGATAGAGTTGCATCGGTGATAATAAATTAAAATGTAGTAATCAATGATAGATATTTATTAAATTAAATTCATAAATTTCGAAGACATTAATTAAAAATTTTTCAGAAACTAAAAAGTATTTACGGAATTTATTTTTCTATTAGAAAATCTAGCGAATTATTGTACATTGAAGGTTTGGAGAATTTATTATATTGTTTACTGTCAAATTTAGTCTTTCATATTTTTTTAAAAATATAATTTATTTTGTTGTCGTAATAATTAACAAATAAAAATATACGATGTTTTTATGTTATTATTTCTTTTTGGATTTACTGTTTGTATTTGTGTTGAAGCAATTTTTGTTTCACAATCGGATTTATTTAAAATGAGAGGGTTTCTTGTACGAAAGTTGATGGTTTTTTCGAGAATCGGGCATCACTGATTGACTCGTCAAATTAAGCACATCACATGTCCATCTGTATATACAGGAACAAATTTGTCTAAATACGATATTTTGTTCCAAAATTAGAGGCGGCAAAAAAGAATCGATAAGTACATTCTGGATTAAATAATCATCAGGCTCTATGCATCAGGTATGATCTATAGAGAGAAGTAGGTGATGAATAATTGTGCTAATCTTGAATGTACCCGTTATTATTGCCCATATATGGTTGGTATATCGGCACACAAAGAATTCCTGAGGGTCAATGTTGATATATTTTCTCAATTGTGTAAGTTAATATAACTTCGTCCTACGGATATTCTTCGGTAATTGAAGGCAGTTAATTGACACACCATCGTCATTGTCCGATTTTTTCTTTATATGGTACTCTTTTTCTTTTCAGTAAATTATAATATTCAAGTCTCACTGGAGGTTTACGCTAATAAGTATTCATCGTCGTTCTTGCGTTTTCCGTATGCCCGCCAGACGCACACCTAACTCTTCGAGTGCTAATGCATATAACACCCCTCCCAGCTCACAACCAACGGACAACTATAGTTCACTTCGTAGTACAAAGAATAAAAGAAGTCCACAGAGGAATGGTGCCTCTGACAGTGACGGCGTAGGGGGTAGCAGTAATTCGCCAAAGTATACGGCATATTTGAGAGAACGATCGTATGATGATTTAAATGATAATCCTTTTGCACGGGAGGAAGCCTTCCTCAGAGCGATGTCGGAGTCAAGCATTTGGGCTTCGGCTTTAGCGCCACGAAGTAGTGACAATAGCGTTTACTCGGACGATGGAAACGATATCAACCCTTTCATATCGAATGTCAATGGAGATAACACAATCGGCTCTCGCGGTATCAACAGTCCAAGTGGGACCAGTCCGAGTACTGGTTCAAGTTGGAGTAATCCTTTTAAAACATTAATAAACATTTTACTAGGCTCATTGGCATTTCTGCTCAACATTATTGGGTCCACATTTTTTTACATATACTGGGGTATTAGGGAATCACTGAATTTCATCTTGCGGAATTTAACAGGCAATGCCAATGGACCTTTTATAGAGACGATAGCAGGGGTTGATCGCAGCGCACCACCCATATCACCCATCCCCATCGTCACCGCTACCACTGCGGTCAGTCGGAACAGTAAACTTTTCTGGCCACTCCTGATACTATTGGCAGCGCTTCTGACACTTTTTACACTAAGTCTTTTTGAGAGTCCATTGATTGATGAGTATCTCCCACAATTTCGATCACCGATTAAAATCCAACTGTGGCCAGTAAACAATACGACATATCGAATAGAAACTGCCGGAGAAAGTGGTAGTGATATCGCGAAAGGTGGTAAAAAGGACGACGGAATATTGTTCACGATGGATGACCTAAAGAAATTGATTGCGGCAGAAGTAAGAAATTCGTGTACAGGAAATGGAGCTAATGCACCCTCAATTGGGTCTAGTTCAGATAGTCTCCGTGGCCTGATTTCCACAGAGGTGAAATCCATTTGTTCACATGAAATCAAAAAGGAATTATCGGCACATAGATCTGAGACACCAAGATTAATGAATAGAAAATTCACAAAAGAAAATATGCTGGAAATTATACGAGATGAAGCTAGAAAGATTGTGTCAAAGGAACTTTTGGTGTTCTCGCAAGACAAATTAAACTTACCCGACTTTGCATTACACTCTGGGGGAGCAAAAGTCATGAGCACACTCACAAGCAAAACATACGAAGTGTGGCCGGACATTTGGTATAAAAAGGTATTCGCGCGAGTATCAGGTCAAGGAATTCTACGTGGAAAACCACCGGTCACTGCTATATCACCCGATACACATGTTGGACAATGTTGGCCATTCCCAGGGCAAAGAGGACAATTAGCAGTCTTGTTGAACAGACGCGTATATGTTAATGCAGTCACATATGATCATGTTAGTAAGGATGTTGCGGTCGAAGTGATGAGCGCACCTAAAGACTTTGAGGTGTGGGGCATCGTGGATGAAGGTGCAAATGGAAAGGGCAAACCAACGGCGAATAATGAATTAGAGGAAGGCGACGACGGATTATTCTTGGAGTCAACCGAAGAGGAATGCGGTGTACGCGAAGATGGACAATACGTATCAGATCGAGAAAACAATGCACATGGATCACAAAATGCAAATTCCAAAGCTTTGAGCGACCTTGATCCCTCTCTTGAAAACATCACTTCCGGTGACGAACTTAAACTGGGGTCATCGCCGCTACATATATTCTTGGGAGCATTCACATATGACATCAACGGAGTACCGGTACAAACATTTGATGTGCCATCAGATATTCTTAAGCATAACAAACCAATCAGAGCGATCATCATGAAGGTGAAAAGTAATTGGGGGGAACCAAGTTACACATGTCTTTATCGATTCCGTGTACACGGAGAACCTGCAACAAATAGAATAATCAATGATACTGAAAAAGAGCTGTGATGTAAAAGTTCATCACACATTTTACATAATCAATGCATTTAGATATGTTTTTTTTATTGTGGTATATATATTTTTATTGTTTATATATAAAAATTTTGTATTTGTTGATTCTCATTTTTCTTGTATTTTCTTCTTTTGTTTATTAAAAAAAGTTTGGAACTGTAGATTAAAAAAAAACAAGACAAGAGTCGTAATTTATAAAACAAGTCAGAGTTGTACACTGAATTATAATATTATTTAGTCTTTGCCTCCAATGCAATTTGAATACTGTACTGAATTGTATATATGATATAATTATTAGCCCTATTCTCATTCATACAAATAATATTTAACGCTATTGAGGTTATTATCTCTGACGGAGAATATAAAGGTCTTTGATCACGCCTTCGCTTCCTTCGTTTAAAAAAATGCCTTTCTTTAATGTCTCACCTTAGCCAATAGCTTTAGAATTAACTTTATGCGCAATGGTTAAGTCAATGAGAAAATTAATAAAATTAGATAGTATGCTTGGCAATATTGGAAATACTATCAAGGATAACAGTCGAAAAGGATTTGGCAATTTTAATATGGGGAATTTTGTGTACAGAATACTTTTCATTTATTTTTTTTTTTTCTTCGACCTTGGCAAGATTTTGCCCTTGAAAATTTGATCGGTATTATTTCTGAAGAAAAGGATTGTGTAAAGTAATTGTTTAGAGTATGTATAGGTACAAAGAAATATCCTAACCTACTAGATCGGTCTCCCATCCCCCAAACAAATGTGATAAACTTTTTCCCCACCCAAACGAAACGGATGTTCATAAATTACAGACAACCGCTCTAAGAACAAATCCCACTTTACGCTTTCCATACGATAATGCTTTGATGGTGATTAAGGTAGTACATGATACTATTAGTAAATATGAAGATAATTATAAGAGCTATACAAATAAGACATAAAATGCTAATAACAGGAGGTTCACAGTGTAAAGGCAAATAATAAATTAGTTTGCGCTTTTAAAGTAAATTTTGTGTTATTGTGGTAAACTAATGAAATGTAGTATATAATGATATAAAATAATGAGAGTTTGAAAACAAAACAACATTTTTTTGTTTTGTGATCGTCCAGCGAGTTGATATAACCACGTGAATTAAATTATCATTTATGTTTAACTGAAGGAAAAAAATTTTTTTCTTGATCACATACATATGCCCATATCTTACGATTTTTAATGTCCATGATCATCGTATTTAAAAAGAACGCCTACGAGATGTCCTTATCACCACTTTTTTGGATAAACAGTTTTTCCTTGACTGCTGCAGCCAGGTCATCTTTGTTATTTAAGTTGCCCGACTGAAGTTGTATCTGCGAGTTCGAAAATGTTTCTTGTAGATATATTGATGATGCTCGTGACAAGGGATACTGCTTGTATGATCCAGTTGATACGAGTTCGTGAATGGCTTTCTCACAAAATATTCCGAGCGTCTTCTCCAGCTGAAATTGGGTGGATCGATAATAATAACGTTAAAATTTTTTCATGAAATGACAATAATGTGAATTATGAAAGAAGCATACATGAGATTTGCCCGTATCGGTCAATTTGACAATTTCCGATACATTGAACTCGTCAAATTTAACGTCGAATCGGAATTTCACGGCACTTTGATTCAATAAGGCAATAAATAAATAAGTGGAATGTCGTGGTAGAATGTTAAACTCGGATGGCAAATACTTACGCAGCAAAGAATTTCAAATTTTCGGTTGCGCGATAAGTCCTCGATGTGTCTTCATGAATTTTATCAATGAAACCGAATGGTCGTTTTGAACGTCTCACCACTGTATTATATATGGTGCAAAGTAATTTACCATCACTTATAAAAAAAAGAAATATATATATATATATATATATATAGTATATAGGTTAGGTCGGGATACAGCTGAGAAAGAACGCTATGTAACACCAAGATAAGCACTAAGAATGCATACGCTAAAGCTGCCAAAAAAGCTGTCTTATCAACACTAGGGTCGGGAAGTGGCACATAATCTGGTTCCTGTTTGGACTTTGATGGACGGTGGGCTTCCAAAAATGCGTGATATCGAGATATAACGTTGTCTCCAAAGATTTCTGGATCCACCCAATCTCGGTTCGGATGACCTGGTGAAAGAGGTGGTGTTATTGAGGCCACGCTTTTATCGGGCTTATTCTCTTCCGTTAACGTTCTCAGATACGAAGAATTTTGGTAAATTTCCTTGTCATCGAATAACAGGCACTCTCCGACAATTTGAAGATACTTTCGCAAAATTTCTCGTTGTTTATCTAACGAATGGTAATTTGATTCCTTGTAAATGTGACCATCTTCGCTGCTGCTATCGTCCGTATCATCATCTCGATGTTCTTTCTCCAACTCACTGATCATCTCGAGTACCTCCAACGTAGCAGACCTAATCTTGGTAAGCGTATCGTCCGATAGGTCTTCCTTATACATTGAATAGTTCTTTACTGATTGTATCGTTTTTGTGGTGGTTGAGATGGCTGTCAAGATGTCAACCGGTACATTATTCTCCTCGGCCTTCACTTCACCGGTAACCATACACCATGCTTCAAGCATTCCTTGTATGTCAGCATGACAATTGGATAGCAAGACGTCTGGATCGGTCTCAATATCTAATTTAGAAGTTAGGAAGGTTGGAAGTGGTGGTGGTGACGGAGGTAGGGGCGTAGGTGGGAAATCTTCATCAGGCTCTTCGGATATTTGTAGGAGGTCCGTTATATTTGTATTTATACTAAGTTTTTCCGCCTCCTCTCTTTCCGCCGGAAAATCAACATGATTTAATTAGTCAAGATACAAATCAAACATAAAAAACTATTAACGGTAAATAATTCTATAGTACATACTTCTGTTTTGGTTTTTTTGGCTTAAATATTATACCTCTTTTTGCGTAGAAATGCTGCAAATGCGTAATGCTACCTAGGGCCAATACGGATTGACGTTTCTTAGCACTCTTTGCAAACTCCCGAGGCTTAGAAGGTTTCTTGTAACCACGTTTGGGTGAGGGGGAGGTTGGCAGGGTGTAACCTCTGTTCAATTGTTTTTCTGTTGGTTCCGTGACAAAGAAAGACGGGTTAGCGATCGCCGATATACTTTGAGGTCTTTGAGACTCCATGGTTAATAATGATCGTTCTGTTTTCTGTGATAACTATTCTGCTTTTTGGATGGTGATAATCGATGATAAAGCGATGCAACGTCCATAAACCTGTTCTTGTCAAGTTTTTTTTTTTTTTTAGGATCTCACAAGAATGAAAATCGATTTCGCACTATTTATTTGGAAAGAGTGGAGGACAAAGGAAAAACAGGCGTAGTTTGGATGAAGGTAGGGAAAGGAGGGTTTGGTGATCGTGAAAAAGGAATGAATGAATGAATGAATGAATGAATTCAAAAAAACAAAAAAAAAACAGAAAAGAAGTTATAAAACTTGAGTTGTGTAAGGCTAGGGATTCTTATGCGTGTAATTACGTATTTAAATTACCTTTTACTACGTAGACACTTTTTACGTGTACACAATACCAAAGTAAATGCAACGATTGTACGAATAATAATGCTTGAGTTTGTTTGGATTGGGTTTTACATGAGATATAATGATGCACAAAATTTCGCAACACGAAGCGTGGATCTTCTTGTACAAAACGTTGATTGAATTCTTCCTCCTTGGATTTCGAAATAATGCAAAGATTTTTTGAGTGACGAGAAAAGGGATTGGAACTTCACTTATATAACAAACGCAGATCCGACATTGTGCCACAGGAAAGAAACAAATTTCCTATGGCAAAAGCCGCTTTTATATGCAACCTTCCTGCTCTTGGGTATAATGTTACTTTCCGCAGCATTCCGTTCATTAGTCCATTGGCTCCTCCTAGCAAATTTAGAAAATTTAGCGCCGGCCGTTCCAAATTTAGAATTGACACAATAATAGTAAACAATCTGTAAATTGTTAAAGGATCATTGACAGTTAAAAAAGAAGTGTGTACCTATTGACCAATTGTCATAATGTCCGGAAGAAGATCACCCGACGTCCTATCAATTATAATATTAGCGTTGGTATGTACATAAATCAGAGTTGATAGGTGCAATGTCTCAATGTTTCAACTCACTTGATTAATTTAAAAATTTCATTTCCCACCCATACAACTAAAACATTCATTGATTCAACAACCAGTTTCATATTGAAACCCATTTAATACACACTTCCAAAGATCCATCAAGTCCATTAGATTTGTTGATTTCCTTTTAATCAAAACAAAACTGGATGCCTAAACAGGTATGGCTTAGACATCGAGGTCGTCATAGACCATTATGAAGCACATTGTTTTTAAGCCATTTTGGATCTCGCGAACAATTCAACCACCACCACCACAGGAAATTAAACAGAATGGACATAAAACTTTTTTGTCCCAAAAGGTCATGGATCTTCTTGCTGCATTCTGTTTTCCAAAAAATCCGAAAGTTGAAATCATTATCTGCACGATTTAAATTCATTTTATGCGACCTGCATGTTGAATTATTTCTGCTGCCTGAGAACACATTTACTTAAACAATAAAGAACTTTCCACCGCATGGCAGTTGTGTGATACACTTTCATTCTTCTGAGATGCCTGCTTGCATCGCGGGAATCGTCTGGTGGAAAAAAGAACAAATATTTAAGGCTGAGGAACCGAACAAATGATGAGCCGTTACCATGTCAATTAATGACCTAATGTTTTCTAAAAACATATTAGGTAAATCGATTTATTTTTTTTTTTTTCTGATTTAAAAAATTGTGCACAATAAAAGGATAAAGAACATTAATTAGAAAATTTTACTTGCATAATCTTAATATTTGATTTTTTTTTTTGTAAAAATATTAATTAGCTATATTTATAACTATATTTATATTTACGATTATATTTAATTCAAATATTAAGATGATGGTAGAAATGCTAATTATAAATTTTTTTAATATAGAACTGTAGAAATAGTGCGTGAATGTTTTTTAACATATATGTATATATTTGATGATCAAATGATCAGGTGTTAATTTGTCAAGGGATCATGATTGACGCGTATTGGCCTAATCTAAGTCGCGCATTTTTAAACATCAGGAATTTCGTTGATCAAGTTATCTTTGATTTTGCTGCGCAGAAAATTAATTCTCACGGTTTCGAGAAACAAAAATTTAGAGAATACTAACAAAAAAAAGAAGATAGATCACATGGTCACGTGATGGATTAATATATATCGGACTTTCTAAATTTTCTCATCTTATCCAGATAAAAAAAATAGGTTTTTTTTATCTGCTGTGTCTGTATTCACCTTCACGAAAAAAAGGACTAGCTTAGAGCAAACATTTATTGCAGCTTTTTACTGAAAGTAACTCGACGACTGTTTGGGTTTATTGGAGTTTAACAAAACTCGTTGCTCTCAAGCAAATCTCCTTTTTTTCATAAAGAAATGAAATATTTTTTTTTAGTGAATCTTATCATTATAAATGCAGTTCTCATCTTCGGAATACTTCTCCATAACACCTATGAGACGCTCCTCGAGTTTATTCAAATCTGGTTGAGTAAACCTGAAGATATTGAAGAAGTTCGAACAGACGAGTCTCACGAGTCTGAAGACGTTTTTCAATCAACAAACGAACCCATTGAAGAAGAAGTTTTCGTCATGGCACCAAAATATGATTCTGAAGTTCAAAACCGATATGAGGAGTACATGCAATATCGATTCGATGCTCGTCTTCAAGCAGTAATCAACAAGAGTTACCATACACCCGAAGGCCTTAATGATGACGGAACCCCGAAACTCGTCCGCGAAGATGCCTTCTATATCAGTCGTCTCGATGCGATGGCTGCGGAAGCGTTTGATGAGTGGACTTTCGAAAATACCTTGGTTGAATCTCCGAACCACAACAATGTATCTCGTGCTGCTTGATCTCAACGTTCTCTCCGATAAATGGATTATTTTGATATTAGATTATTTGAGCGAAAAAAAAAAAAAAAAAAATTGTTTTCGCATATAAATGTCTGCTAAAAGAGTCATCGATGATAGAAAGACCCAAAGATTCGAGTAATTGTTTGAATAGTAAATCTAACGTTCAATATACTAATGAATTTATTAGTTAGCATTACTGCATACATTTCATTGGAGATCTGCTACTCTAAAATAAGACAGTTTTTTTAAGGGTGATAATAATATTACCATTATTTCAACGACATTATATATAATCCGGAACTTTTTGACATGGTATAAATAATTTAGGGTTAAATTTTTATTTTCTTCTCTTCAGCACCTTCGGCGATTTACGATGAATAACTTTTGCTTTCTTCTTGGTTGAGGATTGAGCATCGTTATTCGTCTCTCTCTGAAATAAATTCAATGGTGGTTTATTCGCGAATTCATCAGAAAGTTTCAAAAATTCATTCATATAAATAAAACCTACCTTTCTTTTCGAGTTAATATTTTCATTATTATTATTGAACTTTCTATCTGGAGTATCTCCCGATTTTTCTTTGTTATCAATATTCCTATTGCTTTTATCACTCCTACCACCTTTTATCCCTTTCAGTCTTTCAGCCCTTCTCTTGACTATTATTGAATTCTCAATTGCAAATTCTACGATTGGTCGTTTTTTCTCCCCAAATACCTTAGGGTTATTGTTAAGATATCTCAATGCTGCCAACGCGTGTGCGTGTTCCACATACTCGAGAAATCCGTAGCCTTTTGATCGAAGCTTTTGTGTAACCGAATCGACTCTATCTTTCGATCGAGCTATTTTCGCCTGGCATAATTATGATTAAATATATTATAAATATCTTCCAAAAAAGAAATGGATCGGCTTGTTAATAATTCAGTACCTGTTTGATCTTAATTAACTTATCCCAACCTTCTATTTTCTCGCTTTTTCTTAGATCTTCCCTTTCACCTTTTCGGACTTCTTCTTTAAAATTTTGAATAGATTCTTTCCCCAGATTCTTCAACCTTGATTCATCTACCGTTAGAGGTATATTTCGTATGGACAGTCTAGTTTTTGATATATAAAGATTCGGATTTTTTGCCAATAGATTCTTCCTTGTATTAAACGAAGTTATCCGTTTATTCATTTCCGAAGTTGGCAACGATTCAGCTACCGGCGTGCCTGGGAATATAACTTGAAATGATCATTGTTGTTAGCAAACGGTTATGTTTACTAAGCCATACAATAAAATAATTACTCACCTCCTTCATTCATCAAGTACAAATTCCTTCGATCTTCTTTTCGCCTCTTATCCTGGTTAATTTCCATCAATTTGTGTGCTTCATCTTTATCGACAGCTTTTACTACAGATAAGACTCTACCGCGCAATGTGAATTTAAGTGCCTGCAAGTCTGATGGGTCGGCTGTAAGAATTGATTTATACACCAATTCTTTTCGTTTCCCTTTTTTTGACGACAATTCATTTGAGTCAACGGCGATATGATGTATTTTTTTCGCCTCCGATAAACATTCATCAGCGTGTTCTTTATGCACGAAACAAACGAACCCTGTACCGCGCGAACGACCTGTTGCACTATCTCTCGTTATGACATGATATCGTAATGGTCCAAATGGACGAAATCTACAAAGACAACCAATACTATTAGCTGTCCATTGTTCGGAGTAGTTTACAAGTACACTCTTAAGCAAAGATGATGACTAACATGGCGCCAAGCTCTTCTTCTGTAGCCTCAAAAGCAAGATTACGAATAAATAAAACATTACCCTCCGAGGGAGGATGAGCTTCTCTTTTTATTGTGCCAGTTGATCTGTGATTTTCAGAGTTGACATCATCCTTTGCATCTGTCATAATTTCGTCATCTTCCCTTTCTCCAGTTTCTTCCACACTTTTATCATCTTCAGAATCAACATCTGCCATAACATGATCCTCGTCCAGGGCGAAGTCATTTTCGCTTTCACTTTCGGTTTCCTCTTCATCAAAACTCCTAATATCCTCATCCTTAATCTGATCTTCATGCGTTCCGCCTGGCCCGTTTCCCGGGTCACCAGTTAACTTTGCTTGAAACGCTCCCATAGCTTCCAAATATTTATCTTTTGGTAATGACCAATCAACAGCTATTGTACGACCATGGTGTTTCGTCTCATTTAAATCACTAATTGCCTGTTAACAAAAAAAGATCATGTGAAATCTCGAGGTTCATATACCAAGAAAACTGACAAAAAAAGTATACCTTTTCTGCCTCTTCACGTTTTCTGTATTGTATGCATGCAAATCCGCGTAATGGACCTCCCTTATATTTACGAGGCAAGCTGACCTCCACCACTTCACCGCACGCTGAGAAAATTTTTAACAAATCTTGTTCGCGATACTGTGAAGAACAATGGAAATGCGTGAAAATATAAAATGACTTGTTATTAATGTTCAATGTTCAGACGACCTACCTCCCACGGAATATTGCGAACAATCAATCGGGATTTTTTATCAACCGAATTCGACTATTATATCAGATCAGACAAACAATTGATCACGAATGAGGCATATTAATATCCAGATTTAGAAAAAAGATCATGCCTACCTTATTTGCTTCTCCATCCACAAATTTCGCATTCATCCTCGATCCATGAAACATGTGTCCATCTAAATGTCTTAACGCATTTGTGGCATCCTTAACTGTCTTGAAGGTAATATGGGCTATATACGAATGTTTAGTTAGGCTAGACCTTTATGATAATTTGAACGCAAAGAATCCTGTTTTTGTATAAAATTACCGTACCAATCTCGTGTCCTTCTTCAGAATAGATCATATCCTCAACATCACCAAACTTTCTGACTTTTTTGTAAATCCTTTTCCGAGTCAAATCTTTCGGCAATCCTTGAATCAAGATTGTCTTACTTGCCCTTTCTGGTTTGTTCGATAGCTCATTGTTTATTTTTTTTTTCTCGCTCGCGGACAAGTGTCCTGATTTTTTATCGGCTTCAACGAATGAAGGTTTTTCATGCTTTTTGAGGGCAATCTCCATTTTTAAAGTATGAGTACCTCGGAATTTGACTTTCTTTAATTCTTTCAATGCGTGTTCTGCGTCTTGACTTAACGCATACCTAACAAATCCATAACCGCGGTTCCTGACTTCCCTTTCTTCTTTGTCTTTCGGAGGTGCGGGATTGGATCCCTCGGGATCTGAAGGTTTAATGCTCGAATTGGTTTCTTTTACAAGAAAACATGAGCGTATTGGTCCTATTTCCGAAAAAAAGGATTCGAATTCTGAATCGGTCGCATCGTATGGAATTTTGCGAACAAAAAGGGTAGTGACATTTCCATGTTGTGAAGAGGCGACACTCTCTTCGACATTAGAGTCGTCTTGTATAATTGGAATAAAATCTTCGGTCTGCATCGTTACGATAAATTTTGATGTGATCGATCTTTTTTATAATTTGTGCTACAACATTGGATCGACGGCTAAGATTGATGACTGCGTAATCGTTATCCTTCTCATTTTCGAAATGTCTCAGGAAAACGAAATCCTAACGCTTGATGGTAGTGTTTTTGAAGGTGGAGGTCAAGGTATGCTCGTAGTTTGGCGCATTATGATAATTCCATCTCTTAAATAAAAAGGATGTTTTTAATATCGAATGTAGTTCTTCGAAACTGTGTCGCCCTCAGGTAAAAAATGCTGTATCATAATTGGATGATAAAACCAACATATTCAATTGTTCATATCAATATATTCGATTGTAATATCAATGTATTCACAGTTGCCTGTTAAATAAGTCAATTCAAATTGTAAACATTCGAGCAAATCGTGATAAACCCGGTTAGTTATACGAATGAATTGACATTAAACTTTGAACCGCCGAATCATTGATTGTAACGATTCACCAGGACTCAGACCTCAACATTTGTCCGGTATCCAACTCGTACGTGACATCTTTCAAGCAGATCTGCAGGGAGACAAGGTTATATATATTTATAACGATGATATTACACGAGCTTCAAGATAATGTAATGATAAGTCAAGCTTTATAATAGATTGGATCCCGAGAGATCTTGTTCCGTCCCGAAAAAGTTGGCAGTTCGAAAACTTATATAGCAGACACGAAAACGGCAGGGTATCATATCGGATCGTCCTTGTGTTGTAATCCGCTGTTGTTATTAATCTCATTTTGAACAGGAGTATTGCATTATTGATACAAATCTCTCTCCTACCTTTGGTATTCTCCGCTCCCCCGCCTGTATCCCATTTAACGCTTCCTCCTCGGGCGAACAAGGTGGTTCTCAAAGGCGGGACCAATGTGAACGCAGCACCGCCGATCGATTTCTTGATAGAAGTAATTATCCTCTTTTTCCGCATTACAGTTATCATAAAGTGTATTCAGGTCTCGAGGAATCGAATTTTGATTTAAGATTTTCAGACCCATCGTACAACGGGAATTTGGATTTACTTTTGATATTAATATCATTGGACGTGGGTAGGTTGCACTTTCACTTTTCACTTTTCATTGCTGATATTGTCATCAATCGGCTAGTCAATAATCGAAAGAATTTGGTCGTACTACCAGATATTATCCTCAGGGCGGAGGAGAGGTTATGTTACGCGTTGACCCAGTAGTTGGAAGAGCTTTAAATCCAGTAAAGATGGTTGACCGGGGTACCGTCGTTAATATCAAGGGGCAAGTTTTCTTATCAAATATTCAATCGATCAATATGTTTTTTCTTAATTCATCTTTGATACACGCATGTTTTTTTCACAGACGAGTAAACATTACGAATACACCTGTTCAGGTATCTCTGACCCAAGTACCTTTTGACTCGCGGGCACATTGCTGTGATATTAAACGGTATTAATGATAGGTCGCAAATAAAATAATCTCAAGCGTAAAACAGATCATTTCCGGCGCAGCGTTACCTGAAATCAGCGGGATCAAGCCTGACATAGAAATAAATGTCGAAAAGGCTGTTAGCAAAGGGTTTGACTTATTGTGAGTAGTAATTCGATTTTTTTCGCCTGATATCACAATCTCACAATCTTCTGCTGATAAAATTTCTGCCTTTTGAGAGATTATGGGCAGAGACCAGTACTGGGTGCATAATGAGCGGCAGTGCAATTGGAAGTAAAAGTAATATTATTATTCTGGTCATGGTTAACATTCATAAAGTGAAAAAAGGGAAACCAAATCATTATTCTCACAAAGCGATGTGATATATTAACGTTAGGACAATCTCCGGAGGATGTTGGAAAGAAAGCTGCCGAAGAACTTTTGCAAAATCTTAGTCACGGTGGATGCGTAGATGAGTACGTCTCAAAGCATGTTTTTCTATCCAAGCACGTAATTCGGTCCTTGATTGGGTTTATTTCGTGTTTCTCTTCAACAAATTAGATATCTCCAAGATCAACTGATCATCTTTATGTCACTCGCCGAAGGAAAATCTCAATTGGCCACGGGTCCGATAACTATGCACACTCGTACAGCCATACATTTTGCTGAGAAAATGTTGGGAATAAAGTTTCAAATATCCAAACTTGAATCACGACAATATGTTAAATTGGAAGATGATGCACCCGACGAAGCATATGATGGTGGCCCGTTCATTATAGAATGTGAGGGTGTAGGATTAAAAATCGTCAATGACAACGCGCAACAGACTGCGTAAAATAATCTAAAACGCAATTTTCACATTCAATAATCTTGCTAATATGAAGGTTGTGTTATAATACACGAAAGATGTATTCACATTCAAGTTTTAAGAAAATATTTTTATAGATAGTGACTCTTTGTATGAATTTATAAACGTTTGCAATGTGATTAATTTAAAAAATATTTCTTTAAAAGCTATTATTACACACTTCTCATTTCTATGAAAGAATTAAACTAACTCAGTTTGATCTCGAAAACCAAGTGACCGGCATCAAGCATTCGAAGATACAAACTTAACCTTTACGCTACATGAAAACGATCATTTCCTTCTGTGCTTTATATTTATTTAATTACGCTTTCTTGGTTTTTTTGTATGTAACATGGCACTCTTTTTCGAAATCCACCGGAATCTGCTCATTCAAAATTTCCAGAAATGCTTTCAACGTGCACAACGACTTGTCGTTCGTGTGATGCGTGCCGTTCTTCTGGCATCCGGATAATTCTAGAATCTTATTGTTGTATTTTACTCGGACAAAATATTCACCTTGATTTTCTATGTCGACGGTTTTTCGATTCTTGACACGATCTTTATCATCTATTTTTGCTTGAGAACTTGAGGATTTTTGTTGAAACAATTCTATAATTATGTGGGATGCAAATGGTGGCCACCTTCTCGCGATTGAGATTGGAGTAAAAAAGTTAAAAGACTGATATATATTTTTTTTTTGAAAATTCAAATTCGCACAGCTATCAAGGTGCTCGATAGAAATTAGAGTTACCGATTCTCATAAGCATCGAGTGCTGCCAGTAACGGAGCGATGGTAACGTCGTGAGTACTATATATTGCTAATTTTAAGTTATCTGCTGATTCTTTAGAATTTCCGATTTTGGAAAGTATTTGATCTTGTAATTCGAAGAGTAGTGGCCCGATGCCGAGCCTTCGTAATTCCGGAATTTCATCGAACCTAGAAATTTATAAGAAATATATTGTAGTTATCATAGCGTGCCACTCTGTTCTTTAAAGTCAATCGCGCAACATTCTGCATGCGTACCCGCCAAAACTACGCCCGGTAGAAACCGCGTTTAAATCGTCAATAACATCGGCAGTGAACTCCTTGGGTAATGGAATCCCATTGGATTTGGCTTTTTGGAGTCGCGAAAGTCGCGAAAGGAAAGGGAAGTGGAAAATGAAAAATCAGATTATTCAATTATATGAAGAATATCACAAAAAAAAAGAATTTGTTGAAATAGTGTGATAGTAGAGATGAACCTGAGATAACTGTATCTATCGATTTGAAAAAGGAAATTATTGAATGCATGCAAAGCGCAAAGTAAATCTAACGTTCAATTGTAAACACCTTACCTAATAATTCGTTACATGAAGGATTCGAACTGAAACTGACTTCATTAACGATGGGTTTCAACTTTTCATTGAGAGATTTCAATTTAGATTCATGACGTGAGGAGGCAGTCTTCTGGAATTCGGAGAGGAGTTCAAAAAACCGTTTGCATTTGTGATTTGCGTACAGATTTTCTGAATATGGATCCCTAAGATATATTGAGAATCATCATGTTAAGAAAATGGCAGATATGTGTAATCGATAAGTAAGTTTATGTTACCGCGTGTGAATCTTCAGTGAGAAAGAATTTTCCCGATATTTCGATGGGTACAAACCACCGATGAACAATTGATGCAATGATTCAAACGTCCGGTTGAAATAGGTTGACCGGAGGTAAATCGACTCATCGTTCTCATCTGAAATCTTTGCGTCTAGAAATTTCAATCTGTTTTGTGAACACGGCAGAAATGAGAATGTGAACATCCGAGTTTAGATGTACATCACGAAAGTGAAGGGTCTTGCCCAGTACCTGTTACCTGTTGACATATAAGTCACGCAGGTGCGCACCAAGTTGGGACATCGAGGTACGGCCGATGTCCGTGAGCTGTGGGGCATTCGAATAGAAAGTTAACGACATGAGCGAATGGTTATTTCGTAAATTCATGATCGTATAACCTTACCTGACTTTCTGAGCTGATAAGGCAAAGTAATTGAGGATTAACTGTCGGAAATTCTCGTGTCAATATCTATCAATGGACTTACCAATCTCCCGGTAATGAGATAACCTTTTGTATACGTGAGGACTCAGCCAGACCGGTAAGGCTTGCACTTAATGGGGGTAAATTCGACGAGAATTCAAAATGCAGTTCATCGATACCTTGTTGAGGCAATAAAATGCATGCTTGAGCTGCATGACACAAATTCCATAAGCCCGGTATAAATTCTGTTAACCTTTTCCTTGGAGCTCTTTCACCTGTGTTCAAGCATTCGGTGATCGAAAAAAAATTAGTAATTTCCACAGAACGACTTCACAATAGCCAAATTCAAACGAACCATGTCTGTGTATCACCTGCACTAATCTCAACGACAGGTAATCCGGATAAAGTTTTTGCAGAGTCTTGTCATCATAAGAAGGAATTAGTAAAGGCATTTGGAGTTTGATGAAACGAACGTGATCCGACCGATAAGAGGATGAGTTTGAAAAAAATAAATGATTATTTTATCCATTCCATCTGTGCAACATGCCTTACATGATGCAAACTGCGCGGTGGAATCGCGCCCTTTAAGCACTACGAGATCACGTAATTGCCATCTAACCTTTTCTGGCGTCATTTATTAAACTTTCTAAATCAGTGTTAGAATTTTTTCATAGTCGCACAAATGCGATGTTACGTATGAACGTCTGTACGCAAGCTTTCGAGGGGATGTTAGTTTGACGCGTCAATTTAAACTTATCCAAATCTGGGTTGCCACATAAACTTTATTGAAATAGGCAAGCAAACAAACTTTTAACACATTGTCTAGCACACAGCATATTTATATATCTCGCACTTTCGCTTTTCCTCTGAATCTTACACATGTATCCTGTTTAATCCACCTTCGTTCTTTTAAACATTTCGTTATAATGGAAACTTCATTAGAATCCGTCGATTATACGGACGATGAATTCTTGGCAACCACATTCAAGCCAAGGTATGTTTTTAACGTACATATGCCTTATCTTACAACTGATGAAAAGATTTACCTATTAATTGGGTTTAGGACTTGGATAGTCCAAAGAATTGAGTCAATGATTGAAAAAATCATTTCGGAGCTGGCAATTGGGAATGTTCCAGTTATTCACTCGGTATCTAATGCTAATAGAAGTCATTCTGGGTAACAAGCAGGAGAATAAGTTATGCTTTGCAATATACAGTATATACAGTATGTATATATATTAACACACTTCTTTAAGATATGACGTACGTAACGGCGCCATCCGCCGAAAGACCAAGAACCTCGATATTAGGCAAATTTCCTTCTTGAGTTCCAAAGGTCCACGTGGATTTGCTGTGTTCATAAGGATCCTTGATATTTGTCATGAACTTCTTGTTCAAAACATCACGGCTACCAAACGGTACGTTACCATAAGGGAAAGAATGATAATAGGAATTTTTCGATTAATTCTTTTCAACATACGCTGTATAGTGACGTATTTTACAAGGACGTACAGCTATTCGGGAATCAGCACACCGTAGATGTGGTAATCAAAGAATCGTCAATTAAACTGGTGTTTAAACTTTCTACATACTAACCCCACAATTAAAGGCGATCGACGAATTAGCTTGCCTGTTTCGCGTTCCAAGAACTTGTTTGAATGTGGTATGTTTCGTACGTTTGATGTGCAGCGAAGAATGACTCGGTATTCATGCACAAATTACCATTAATTATTTATGAGAAAGACTGCATCAGCTAAAGGACTGGTTGCCGGTGATCTGAAGATCTATCAAAAAAATAAAACATTATTGGAATGTTCATCAGCCGTAAGAAAACTGCAA